TTTTGGCTAAATTTTAGATGAGGTAGCATGTACAGTAAGAATGTATGAGAATTTTAACCTTAACATACATGGCTAAGAGTCAGTTTCTCGCATGCCATGCATTGAAATTTAGATGTGGATCACAGTAGGACGAAAATGTCTTGTGATGTTTGATCTTTCAGAGTTTATCTCGCCCAGAAACCTTCCACACACGATCACTTTGTACTGTCCAAACAAGCATCCATGTTCTATTTCTCCTGTCGAGTCGTTACAACATCATTATGTGTGCTCTAGAAAGCAAGCAGTGCCACTTTAATATTGAATGAGCGGAGGAATAGCAACACCAGTATCTTGCCTTCCGTAAAGCTATCAGCACACCCATTCTGTGTGGAATGTGCTTTTTGCTGTAGATAGCGTTTGCCATGGCTGACGGTAATGTAAGTATTACCACATGTCTATTTTTAGAAAGGCAATTTCAAAGTTTACTGTGCGCATATAAATGCACATGGGTAAGTGTTTAAATGGCAGAAGGCATGTGTGTTCCATTGTGTGTGTGTGTGTGTGTGTGTGTGTGTGTGTGTTGCCTACAGTAGCTACAGGCTTGTTGTTTGAGGGTTCAACAGGCAGCACATCTTCTTTTATTCTCCAGAGGGGGAAGCCGGCTGTTTTGCTCTCCACTTTCTTTACCTTCAGGCTTGACTGAGACTGAATCACTCAGATGTTAAATCAAGAACTTCACATCTTGAACATTAGAAAATATGTAAATCTAATAACTTCACCCCTCCGGGTTCGTTCATACATGGACAGTTGGAAGCTGGCTGCATATAAATCGTATCCCAATAAAGCCTCAGGTAGTGTTTTTTTTTTTTTCAGTACTGTTGGGTGGTTTTAAAAGACAAATGCAGATTTAAAGCAGCAGAGTTAAAATTTAACAACAACCCTCTTATCACACACTCTCTCTCACATGAGAGTGCACCCATTAAGAGCAGCGATACTTTTAGCCGGTCTGCTTCTCACTGTGTGCAGACTGTTGCTTGTGCCTGTGCAGCATGCTTCAAAGATTTGCTAAATTTTCATCCACACTCCTCCACTCCAGCTGCCACACTTTTTTTTTTTTGGTTCTTTTTAAAGAGATGTCCTCTGTGATTGGCACCTCGGGATCAGTGAGGTACATATTCAATATAATATATTCAACACCTAAACTGTGCCATCCAGGAAAAACAACCAAGATTCTCTGAGTTATTATAAGTTACTCTGACAGAAGTGTGCCAGGCAAGGAGCAAATCATGTGTTCATTTAATTCGTAGTTTACAATGACATTCTGGCATTCTGCTACTAAAAGGAGACAACTATTAAAACATAATTAACTAGTGCTCATTGTTTGCTTTTGCAATCTGATTTATTAAAAATAAATCTGTTTCATTTGTATGATGTCGACATTGATCTACCATGAGCCAGCACCTATAGCAATAGCTGCAAAGGAAAACTTCCTTTGAAAGACAGAAACCTTGAGCAGAATCAGACTCATTGATAGAGAGTCAATCGTTTCAAAAATAATGAACAGAGACAAAAGTAGACAGCATGTTCAGAGTTTGACCTACATCGATGTCAAAAACACATAATTCAAACAGGTTACCACAATCAGAAGAACTTGTGATTGTTTTTTTTTTGTTTATTTAGAAAAAATGCGGTATATATAGTGTTTAATGGATCTGTATTATAAAATTGGACGGAACAGTATGTTGTCTGCATTTTAATACAGCATGGTGTCAGGGTCAACAAGTTTTGAAGGACTCTTTCTCTAAATTAGTTATGGTTGTTGGTAGCACCTGATGCCCACCGGGTTCACGCAGAAGTACAACACTTGAGATGAGTTTTGTTAGTGTAGAGGGAGAGAGCAGAAATCTTTATGTGAGAAATTTGCATATTGCTGCCGAGGCTGTTCAATCAATTGAAAAATGTTGTATTGAACTTTTTATTCACCGGCGTCTGAAAAAATTTATGAGTGCATGGCAGCTTCCTTTTCAACAGGATCATTCAAATGTGCAAGTTTGTATGAGATGATCTATTACACATAACCAGGGCTTATAGGGGTAAAAAAACAATCATACCAAGTATGATATAGCAACAGAAAATCAATCAGGAGATGGTTCAAATAGTTATCATCAATTAATTGACCTAATTGTGGCTATAAAAAGTGATGTACAATATGTGTACTGCTGTTAATAATCAATAAATCAAGTTAAGTAAGCACACATGCAGAGGCGCTGTTTGTCAACAGGCATGGCAGGCAACTGCTTGGGGCCCCAGACCAATAGGGGGCCCCTGAGGGCTCACAAATACAACCAAAGCAGTGGCCCAAAATGTGCAAATTGTGCAAGGACAGTAGGAAACCTCCCTAACGGGGCAACAATCTGACAACACTCACTCTCATTGCCCTGATAAGTGTGGCATGCATTATTGCTGTGAAAACCAAAGTTTGTCAATCAAAGTCAACAAAGAGGAATTATCCGTCTATAGGAGAGAAAAAAGAAAAAGGAGAAAATAAGGAAGTGGAGTGAGCGTCGGGACACTAGCAGACATGGTGGTTATAAACGCTGGTCGGAGGGGCCACTAATTGATTTGTTGCCGAGGACACCGGAATCATCACTGCACACATGTCGGGGTTCCCTTTGCTGCACTGACACTGCAAAAACAGAAAGTGTGTCATATTGAATGACGAAATCAGTTCCCGGTTGATTTTTCTCAAAACTTAAATTTAATATTAACTTTCCCTTTCTCCTGTCTTTATCTCTAACGTGGAGACCTTCCCTCTGCAAACCACTTAAGCGCACTAATCTCTTCAATTAATGAATGGGCACAACAAGATAGACAGTTTGCCTGTTCATGCACAAAGATGAGGAGGGCACACATAATTTGACTCAGGGTCATGTATTTCTTGAATATTTTAACAGCTTGCTTTATTCAAATAGATTTAACACAACTTGTCTTGAATAGCAAATCTATAATCCCTTCCTAATGTGTTACAAATTTGATTTTTTTAGCGTCCACTTAAAGTAGTAATAGCTTAATTTAAAATACATTACCTCAAATATCCTTTACGCACTATAACTGGCGTAAAAAGTAAACAAATAGCCATTGATTTCATCTTGCGTCAAGCTGTTGACCACAGCGAGCTATTTTTACCCTCATATCCGTGCTCGCTCCTCTGCACATCAGATCGGTGCCAGCGCTCAACCTTTCAGTGCTCTGGGTCAGCATCCTGGAAGTTTGCCAGACACTCCAGCTCCTCGAGACCATATGGGGTCTATGTCTCCTCTCCGACCTCACTCCGCCCCTTCTGCACCTTTTGCTTCGAGGCTGCAACCTTAACCCATCCTCACCTAAATCACATCTCATGATTAAACAACACTAAAGCCGGAGCTGTTAGGACTGAAGAGACAATGCTTCATTTCTCCAAATAGAAAAGTCACTCATTTTCTGAAAATGTCTCCTTAGATTGTGGCAAAATAAGGTGTTTTGTAGTTCTTCTACTTTTTTGTAGACACTTATTTTCATAATGTTAGTTCAGATGTACATATGCCCAGAAGCCCCTTTGTGCCCTCTTTATGGTGCGTGCCAACATGAAAAACCTGTCTTTGTCTAATGCACGGCAGCACTCATTAAGAATAATTGCTTTCCTCCATATAATGAACCCTTTTTGACTTGAGTTCCCTTATGGATTGATGGTGAGTCCATGCTTCATTTGTGTTTCGAGGGAAGAAAATCTTGGGAAGCCGTTCTGTCAAAGCCCAGTGGGTGGGAAGAAAAAGTAGAAGAAGAAAAAAATGTCCTCTTGGTTGGAGCATGGCAGGGCCGGGGGCAGCTGCAGGACTGACCCTGCCAAGGACAGAGAGCTTCCCATGCCTGTTCAATGCCATAAAACGGGTCATTGAACAGCTAAATGGAGTCATTATGATGAGTAATTAAAAGAATACTGCTGAAGACTCCTAAAGTCCCCTTTTCTTTTGGTTCCGCTTTTTTTTTTTTGTGTCGTCATGGCCTTTTTGCTGAAAGGCAGCTGCCTGGGGCCACTTAAACTATCACCCCTTTCACTGGAATGCAAATAGCGGCCTTAGCAGCTAATTGAATCGCATTATCTATTGTCCTCTCATTTACGGGAAATCTAGCCATTTTGCAGATTTCCATTACTGATTGTTGGCGATTGAATTTTGCCCGAGCTTCATATCTGATACAGCATGTCATACACTCTGAATCACAAGGGATGAGAAAGCTGAATTGTTTCATTAGAGCAGGAGGAGTAATATGAATTTGGATTGTGCCGTTATCTAGAGCTATGCAGATATTAATATGTATGTAGGCAGGAAAAAAAAGGCTGTAGAATTTGTGTGTAAACAGAACCATAAAGCAAGCATGAGCAGTGCACAAAAGATGAGGAAATCATATTTCATTCATATATTATTGCGAATACAAAACATGTCCCTGCAATACAAGGCTTCTCTTCCCTTTATTCTAACTTACAATAAAAATGCATGATGTGCCCATGCGGCCTCCTTCCCTCCAGGGCGATGTGAGCAGCACATTTCTCCTCACTTTTACCGAGAGTCATTAAGATGATAGGGGGGTGGGGGGGAAGGGCCTGATGTTTGATTAATTAGTAAAACTAACTTTGGAAAGAGCGGAAACTGAAACAGAGGATTTCATTAGCTCGTGCTCACTAGATAAGGTTAATGAGGTGGTTCAGAATCTTCAAATGAAAAAAGGAAGAAGAAAAAAGAATTCATACTCGCTGAATTCATTTAGGAGACTGCATTGCCAAAGAGGGTTATCCTCTGAACGAGCAGGTTTCATAACACTGATTTAACATGTTGACTTTATACGTGTATGTGTGAAAATGTTAAGTACTTGTTGTAGTGGTTGACATGCTAAATCCATTCTCTTGCACTCAGTTGTTCTCAAACAAAACTCTCAAACTGAAATATTAATAAGTATCTCTGCTGTCCCCCCCCCCCCCCCTTCAGAGTAAACAAAAGAGGAATCCGTGAACATTTGCCCTGCAGAAGGACACCAGGGATGGTCCCTCGCTGCGAGGACTTCGGCCTAGATTACAGACATAAGCGCAGGTATTTGGTACACTTGCTTGTTGCAGCTCTGCATGAGCAAACGCCTCCTAAGAGGATCACACAGAATCCATCGCTAAGCTTCTGGTCAATACTCATGACAGGGACAGTGCCAAAGACATGTCGCTCAAAGGACATGTTGAACAGTTTGCATATCACTCTATGGACTGTTGTTGTGTTCAAGTGTCCGTCGCTCAACTTCTGCTCTTTCATCCAGAGAAGCATTTTTGCACTGATAAACTAAAATATTTACGAAAGGGCTTACAAGGCAATGTACACACTTACAATAGGCTCGGGTTTGTATTTTTTTCTGGCAACAAACACATACCTGTAGAGATGATTAATTTACTTTTTCTTCTAGTTCTATTTTTGTAACCATCTCAAACTACTTCATCACTTGTCATTTTACTCTGCTCTATTCTTTACTATTTTTTCTAATCTCTATTTGAAATTATTCTTTTTAAATGCAAAAAAAAAAAAAGCTACACAAGAAAAACAATCAGACAGGGTCACTTATTTTGAGCAATAAGATATGTTTATCCAGAGTGCATCAGTATTTTACGAATATGCAAACTGGGATTTCAAATAAACAGTTGTTCTTTACCAGATATGGTTGTATGGTTACTCGGCTGAGACCGTTTTTTATTTGTTTAAATTCTCCTTCTTCTCCTCCTCCTGATCCTTTGCTTAGTTCAGTTGTTCTTTGGACTTTGTTTTGGACATTTTAAACATGTTCACCTGAAGGAGCATGCTTTTTAAAGGTGCACTATGTAGTTTTGGTAGAGAAAGTTGAAAGTTGGAGAAGTGTACAGCTTCTGTGGTATATGTCCATAACTCTATACACAAACTGTCCTCAGAGGAAAATTTGGACCCTGTAACCCTGTTTGAAGATAAAATGATACGCGATAAGTTATGGTGGGGGGCCCGCAACAGTGAAACCGTAACTCTTCAGGTAGCTTTTCTAGCTCCAGGGACCCAATTTTCCTCTGAGGACAGTTTGTGTATTGAGTTCAGAAACTATAGCATAGAATTGTTTCACTTCTCCAACTTTGAAATTTCACTATCAAATCTACATAGTGCACCTTTATCTATAGCATTAAGCTAAAGTGCCATGCTTTGCAAGTTATTTTGAAATAAAGTTATTTCCCTCTAATATGTGCACACTGATATGAAACATATGCATATGCATCAAACAACGAGCTCTGCATGTACGGTAATTATGCGCATATTAACAAAAGTGACATGATCTCAAGTTTTTAATCATCATTGACTCTTTTTCCTTGAAACACATTTTCATAAACTTGCACAGCCTCTCTGTTTAACTGACTCACTCGTTAATGGGCTAAAGTCATGTAAATCAGAGCAGATGGGGAGTCCCCTTTGGCTTTATTAAGGCTCATGTCAGCAGCAGTACAGTTTGTTCCTACTGTACGTTCCTCTTGCTGTTGACTTAATTGTAGCCAAAGGTGGACACATTATTACACAAGAATAAAGAGAGGTGGCAAACAGCCTGAAAGCTGCAATTACAGCTGTTGGTATAATGGAGCATCACCATTATATATAGATTACATTTAAATTATCTTGATCACAAGAAGTAAATTATAATGTTTGAAAATCCAGTGCCACAGCCCCCCATGTTCTAGATGTCTTTGAATAGAATTCTTAGTCAGTACAAAATGTCAATGCACTAAGTTGGTTAATAACAATTAGCATGTAAGATGTTATTAGCAAGTAAAAACATCACATTTCCACCTCATGTACGTCAATATCTAACAAAACAAGCTTGTAATTTTATTCCTTCTCTGCCATGCAATTTTATTTTCTCTTGTGTAAAAAAACTGTTCCTCAGTTGTAAATACTTGACTCCAAAATGGGACTGCATGAAAACGTCCTAATGCCTATTTAACAACAAAGAAGTTCACACCAAACAGAGAGAACTAATCTGAACATGAGAGGGCTCTGGAGAGACATGATAATAATGACCCTGCTCCAGAAACAAAGCAGATACAAATAATTTACATGTGTTTGAAAAGCATTTCTCACACTGTAGATAATATATTCTGGGAGTTATGTGTTATCATGTAGCCTAAATCATTGCAACAATACATTCAGTGTGCAAGATCTGCCCGACACCCTTAAACATGGATGAATAAGTCAGCTCTTTCAGTGTCATTAACCAAAGTATATTTTGATGTTTTTCTTTAAAGGTTTGTTTTCTTTGACTTTCATGTTCACTTCGGCAGCTGTTTGAGTCACATTTAATTAAGACTAGAAGTTTAAAGAAAAAAGCCTTTATGATATATGGGAGTGTATGTTCTCATAGACTCTGAACATTAAGTCCCCATTGGAAACATCAAACGTGGGGTTTTAGTGTTGGATCAATTTATTGACTTTGATTTCATTCTCGCTGCCTTTCAAGTGAAGCCAAAAGGGACTTTACTTAATTTGAACTGTCCATAAATATTTCTACACCAATTTTTAAAGATTTAATTTTAAAACATGATTGTAAATGCAGTGCATGAACAAGCTAAATAAACCTACTACTTATCTTAAAGTAGGTTTGAAAGGCCATGGGAATTGTTTTTCAGTGATGTTTTTAAAGAAGAAGATGTGCCTGCACACTTTCTCCAATGCTACAAAAAGCCTTTATTCATGTACACCTTTTCGACCAGAGGTGTTCCTCAGGTGATAATTTTTAAAACCTGGAGATATAGGGCTGCTGCTGCTGGAGAGGGTAAAGCGACAAGTTTGTGTGTCCAGGAGGGATCACAAAAGTCCCAGTTTAATTATTTCATTTAAAAAAAAAAAAGAGTGTCCAGAGCTATTTTTTGATTTTCTTTTAGGGGACCCTAAAAAAATATTTCACAGTTTCTCTGTCGAGATATATGCTTTAATTTAACTGGTTTGTAAAGAAACAAGAAGAAGAAATGAAATAATGGTGGAAGAAGAATTTATTGTACATTTTGTTTTAAACACTACTCCTCGTCCTTAGAGGTATTATTGAGAGTCACAGCTCCGGCAACTTTACTTTTGTACATTTGTTTCCATTTTAATTGATCACTCAATTACGAGATTTGACTGTGAAATAAGTATAAAAGTTGGCATTGGATTCAGAGTAAGGTCACTAATCCCTTTGATTGCCATCCTCCATCCAGGTCACAACAGCTTAAGGCTTTAGCCCTATCAAGCTGTAGTGCCAGCTCCCACGCTAACCTGGATTCCTAATTGATGGCACTCAAGAAGAGTTATTTGAATGGATTACCTTAAAGAGCATCATGGATTAGCCTGTGAGAGACATGGATCCAGAGGAAGCCTTCATTTAGCCACATAAAGTGGTTATAAAACATCTGTATGGATGGCAATTATTGAGCTTGCAACTCATCAAAGGAATGTAACCCTTCCTCCTCGATCGCTCAATGTATCAACCTCACTCTGGTCTGTTATCTAACTTTGGCATGTTGGCTGCTGTAGTGTTTGTTGGCACCAAAACAGTGCATACTATTAACTGATCAATGCAGTCAAAACACAACTGGTGGTATCTACGGCATCTATATTTGTGTCTTTTTTTCCGATAGGCAGAATAGCGCCATTTCAAGGCAGCACGATCCATAATACAAGGCTAGATGTTGCACTTTATGATAAGCATTGCATTTGATCAATCACAAAATACCAAAATGACAAAACGCCTCCTCACTGGTTCTGTATGGTTCTATATTAGTTCATTTCACACATTGATCATCCAATTGTTGCGACAGAGCTGTCATGACTTCTAATATAGTTGTTTTTTTAAATCACTTGTGACTCCTCTTGTGACAGTGACTCCTCACCCTAAATTTCATCAAAGCACCCCTGAAATAATAGTAACAGGGGCACATACCTCACTACAGCTGGTTTGATCCAAAAGTCACAATCGAACTAGCAGGTATCTACTGACAGACACAGCAAGTGAGTTTCAGAATTACTCGGCATGACGATATGGAGTTTTAGGCTTTGTGCCTAACAAAAATGTCATCATGGTTGGTATAGGACCAAGATAATTTACTTCAGATATCGTGTAAGAGATGCAGTGTTACATGTAAATGTCATGCATTCAAAACTTTCAAGATAGTAAAGTGTAATAGTATTGGCATTAAAATGTGGCTCAACTAGCTGGATTGCTCCTACAGAGTTCCGTTGTATTAATTTGCAATGACAATAAAGATCTATCTATCTATCAACGAGTAACATTTCCTATTATACTAAAAGGCTTTGAAATATTGCACATATTGCAATATTAAAATTAAAAATACATGTAGGAAAATATTTCTTGTTGAGTGAAATTAGTTGTTTAGCAGAAGGATTAAACTATATATGTCACAATTACTTTAGGAGCTGGGCACCCCTAAAAGTCTGATCCTAAAATCGCCCGTGACCCAACAAAAACATGTGAAATGTTGTTCTTATATTGTTCGGTTCTTATAATGTCTTCCCCCATCAAAATCAAGTGTTGTATTTTGTAAATTAATGCTTGTACAGGCCAACACCCAGTCTTAGCAATGAATAAGGTTATCATAATGCATGAAAGTTACATAGCTTTCAGACAGTTGTCAGGCTTTTATTACAGACTCTCTAATTATTTTTTTCACATCATCGATAAAGAGCTGTGGCAACTTTCTCAGCACGACAGCAGACATTTCTTGATTCATGACACCTTCATTCTTCCCTCTTATTACATCTTTATTACACATCATTCAGGCATTCTGCCAGGGGACAAATAAAACAAAGCCTATTGTCTCTGTTAGAATTATACGTTTTAAATGAAATCCATAAAAACAAACACTGATCATGTGCATGTTATTTTCAAACACTGACTCGGTGAAACTCCTGAGTGAGAAAAGAAGCGATAATTGAGGCTTTGGTTTAGGAGAAGGATTAAAAACTTGAGGCCACTCACCTTTAAAGTAGGATCTCCGTCCATCTGCTTTTATGTTCCCACTCGTCTGTCTCCCTTTTCGTTGTCCTCT